AAAGAGAGAGAAAGGGGATAGAGAGAACAAGAAAGGGAGGAGAGAGAAAGCAAAAAAGGAGGAGGAAAAAGTAAGAAAGGGGAGGAGAGAAGGAAAAAGGTTAGGCAAGAAGAGAGAGAGCAAACATGAATAAAAGAACTCCCAGCTGAGGATCCCACAGCTTCTCCATTTCTGCCCTCCCTAGCTCCATTTTGGATGTTTCTCAGAAACAGAGTCACCCAGAATTTCAACATAGTACCCAGCTCTCCTCTGCAGCCCACAGAGTCCTCCAAAAGCACCACTCTAAACATCTGACCTTCCAGCTGTCCCTGAAACATGCCTAGAGGTGTGGCCTTTCCCTCTTTCCTCCCCTCTTCAGGCTCAGATTCCCATTCCTTCATTCACATACCCCTTGCAACTGGTTCCTGGGGTCACCTGGGCTTCTAGGAGTGGAGGCGGAGGGAAGTGGCTGAAGCCAGAGAACATCTGAACTGAGGGGGTCATGAAAACCCTGAACCACTGCTCACCCCAACAGGTGACACACAAAGGCATCATCCAGAAAAATGCTTTTGCTTTTTGTTCAATTTATTATCAGGGGATTGAGGGAGAGGCAGAACATGGTAAGACAGAGCACTGCCCCACAACACCAATAAGGCAGGAAACCTACTAGCAAAGGCCAGTTTCCCCAACATATCCCCAAAGCATATCTACATAGGCAAATTTACACAGGGTCAAACAAAGGCGGAGAAACACACCCAGGCCCTCCACATAAACACACACATACACACACCCTCCCACCCAGATCTGGGAGGAGAACTGTAGGTCCTAAATCTTCAAAGGGGCTTAGCCATAAATCCGTTCTCCCAAAGGAAACTCATCTGCCAGACAAACCAGAAGGTCTGACTCCTCCTTCATCAGGGAGCAAAGATTAAGTAACTATTGTCAAATGGCACAAACCTGGCCTGGGGAGTCACCTCTGCCCCAGTCCCATTAACTTCTCTTACTCTAAAAAGCCAATACTTACAACAATAATAATAATCATGATATCAATATTAATAATAGCTAGCATTTAAGAAGAGCTTTAAGGTTTGCAAAATGCATTTAAAATAGTATCTTATTTTTCCTTAAAACAACCCTAGGAGGGAGCTGCTGTTATTATCCCCATTTTACAGATGAAGAAACTGAGGCAGACAAGGTTAAGTGACTTGCCCAGAGTCACACAACTGGTAAGTGTCTGAGACCAGATTTGAACTCTGGGTCTTCTTGACTCTAGATCTCTTGTTCTATTCACTTGGACACCTAAATTGTGAGCTGCTCAAGGGTGGGGACTGTCTTTTTCCTTTCTTTGTATCCTTAGGGCTTCATGGGCCTATTGCTGGGGCTTAATAAATGTTTACTAAGTGACTGACCTAGCAGCCTCAGTCCTTGTTCTGGTTTGTCCATCTTCCTCCAGGGCAACAGGAAGCCCTGAATGACTCCGGGGCTCAATGAAATCCTCAAATCTCTCTACTGCCTCCTAGACTTCCCATTCCAACTTCATATTTTGAGTCAGAATCCATCCCTCACTGGGAGGACAAGGGTTAATGAACTAATACTCAAAAACACAAAGCCTCCAGTGCACGAGGTGCAACAAGTATGATCAGGTACCAGGAAAGAAAGGAGTGGTGGAGAAGGAGTAGCTCGGGCTGAGGTGGAGAAATGCTCCATGGAGTCTGGGGGAGGGACAAGATGACTTCTGGGGGGGGGGGTGTAGAAAAATGAGTTGGCAAAGGGAATCTATGATTCAGTCTCACACAATGGTTCTGCTGCACATCATAAATGGAAAATGCTGGGTGGGTAACACAGCATACCACACAGCTGCACAAAGAAGTTGAGGGGGGGTGGGGGGAAGAGAACGCAATCTGAACTCTGTCTCAACATCTGTGAAAGTATGCTGTGTGTCAACACCCACTACAGACTCCCAGCCAAAGGAAAAATGGTGCAAACAGCAAACTTTTCATCTGCAACCCACTCCCCCCAACCTTTTTTTTGGCCCACAGAGGAATCTTGCCAGCAAGAAATCATACCCAGGCTCAGATAGAAATGAAATCAAGGAAATGGGGAGGGTGGAGCTCTTTAAAGCCCTGGGATCTCCCAGCAGAGAATGACAGGGGTAGCGCCTAGAAATTCAGAGAGGTCAATGCTGAGCTCATGCCCAGGGGCTAGGGGAGCCAGATGAGGCCAATGCCCTTCCAGCCCTCCTTCTATGGTGTTTTCCAAACACTCTCTATTAGGGATAGGAGCAGGGTGGTTGGGAGTGGGGGAAATGGAATAGGAAGATCGCCATGGGCACCTCGACACCTAGAGGCCACCTGAATCCAGGGGTAGCCAATCTATCCTTGGGTTATGTTCCAAAGTCCCCACTCTCTGGATCTCCAGAGCTCAAAGTAATTCAGCTCCACATTTCCTATTTCCAAACCTCCGCCTCAAACTTAAAGGAACATATGCATACAAACTGCCCCTGTCAGACTTCACTTCCCCTGGAAAACTAGGGAGTAGGATCCACTGAGGTTCAGTCAGGGTCAGGTTCCACTGACCAGGAACCCACCAAAGGAAAACTTAGAGAGACAGCCTGCACAGGCTGTCTCCTGGCAGAAAAGGCTGGGAGGCTGTGCTAAAGATCTGCTTGCTCAATACAGAAAGAGGTTTAAATGCATCTCCTGTCAATAATCAACTGGGGAGATGTCCAAGAGAAAATTATTAAAAGGACCCACCTGTAGCAGGCACCTCAGTCAGACCACTTCAGATTCCAATTAATGTAGAATCTTTATGTGGCCATGGGGGGAGGGGCTGTCTGGTCAAACCCAGCAACCTTTTAGCTAAGCCCTTGGAAGTGAGGGACAGAAGCGTGCTGCCCTGCACATCCAAGAATTCACCCAGGCACATCTAAAGAGGCAGCTCATTGGAGGGGC